GACTGAATGTCCGCTTGGTCCTTGGCTTCCCCGAACATGTTCAAATGATGCGGAGTTTTCCCAGTAAGGTGTGTACCTGTCCAGTCCGTGCCTTGTAACCCAGCAAGGACCCAGCGGATGGGTCTGCATAAAGTGTCTCAAAAACACAAGCCTGTTGCTGGCTAGAGATGGCTCTGGGAAACTTCTAGTATCCTTAAATTGACAGAGGTGAAAATCTTCACGCACTTTGGTAACATTTTTACTGGTATATCTGTAGCGTCACATTTTATAAATCAATCGGTAGCAAAGCTTGGAGCCCCAAGCGCTTTTTGGTTTGTGTGTTCCACTCCTGTGGCCTCTGCAAAATCATCTTTCCTATCCAGTTTACCTGAGGAGGAAGGTTTTATTGAGGTGTTGGGCTGGTCGTCTGGAATTTCCGTGGCCTGTGGTGCAGATGTGTCCGTTGCCAAGAGGGTCGGGCACCTTCACCGTGCTCTGTAGGACAGTTCCTGGTTTAGGTGTTTGCCCAAATTCCAGATTTATATAAATAAATGAATGAATAAATGTGAGCTGAGATGGCCAGATGATAGTTTTTAGTCCATTAAATAACAACCAGATAATTTTTAATTGAAGGCTCACTACATTAGTGGGGAGACCCTGCTCACCCAGTAGACCCCGAGTGGACCTCCAGTACAGACCAGTGGAGCCTGCGGTGCTGTGCTATCGCCGCACAGACTGGATTGCAGCTTCAGCACTGCATGCCAGCGTGGGCATTTGGTGCTAGTGCTAAAACGTGCTCCCTAGCAGCTTTTTGCTCTTTCAGTGTATTTTTATCTTTCGACGTCTGACACGTTTTGAACCCAAGCAGTCTCTCTCTGGGGTTTCTCCCTGCTCGTATCACACCGGCGTCTGGTCTTGCGGTTTGTGCCCTAATGAGAAAGCTGCTGAATTTTCACACCCAGCCGGAGTATCGGAGGAGGCAGGAAGCCGCACCCTTTCTCATGGTAGAACTCACTCAGCTGTTTGCATGATCTAGCAGCAGAAGCAGCAGCTTCTGAACAAAATGATAGTGTGCTATCTATAGATTTACAGCCTTTTTTTTTTTTCCTTTTGCCTGCTCTGGTTATACAGGCTTTTCTAGCTGCAGAGTTTCCAATGGAGATGTTGGAGCCGCCTTTCTGAAGGTACATTTCTAAGCTGAAAGCTCCACAGACAAGGAGGCCTCTTCAGTATTTCCAGCTCCTTTCACCTAATGTTTTCCATACTTCACGAGGCAAAAAAAGCCCATTTTTCACTGCCACCTGCATCACTACACATCAGCTGAGCAGCGTAGCAAAACCCGGGCGGACAAAGAGCACACTGAGGTTTGAAGGATGTTAACAGGATCCTTCGTGTTTTGTGGACGTGGGGTTGCGCTGAGTTTTAGCCCTGTTCTGCGGCGCTGGTTGGTTTTTCACACAGGATGGAAGTGCAGACATTTGGCAATACCCACCATGCCGATGCTGTCAGAGTGGCTGCGGTTCCATTGACTCGAACCTGGGG